ATGTTTGTTTCGCACGCGGTCGTTCGGTGTGTCAGTCATTACGACCTTCCCTTTGTACGTGCAATGCGCGCATGTTGAACACAGTCTGTTGTCGTGTCTCTCTTGCCGCGCTCTGCCCTGCTTTGTCGCTCCATAATTTTGTTACAGCTTATGCACGCCCGACAGCACGCCCCCCGTGGAAGGTTATGGTACGTGTCCATAGCACAAGCGCTCCTCACTTATTCAGCCATACACATGCCATACCTTTGTATGAGTACAAATGTTGCTTGCTTGTTAATTCGGTCGTTTCGGCGATCTGACGTTGGCCAATACGTCGTTTCGTCGCGAAGCTAGTCAGTCGATCTGCTGACTACTGGTAGAGTATGCCTGTGTCTGCATTTATTYAGCTTATCCGCATTCCACGCACTCTGCACCGTCATCGTCCGATTACAACGTTTGGTACGGTTATCGTCATCCCATTTGCCCGTTSGCTTGTTTGCCTGACTGCCTTTTGGGATTGTACTTCGCCCCTCGTTTGTCATATGCCCCGCCTATCTGTGCGCAAACTGTTGTTGATGGATTTTGCGACCGTAWCGACCCTTYTTCGTGCATGTTCATGAGCTCTGGCGTTAGCATGCTTCTCCTATGGCTCGGCGTGTTTGTGTTTTAGTGATTTCCGTCTACGCGCATTCTACTTACATACATACTTCCTTCAGGTACATATGAATGTGTGTGTGTGTGTTAGTCGGTTCGCGCTAACTTCAGTCGATTGTGTGCGCCMCTGCGGCTATGCTTGTACGCCCTTCGCTTATCCAGTTTTTCGTCGWCACCGCCACTAAAGCTACTGCTGTTGTTCTGGTGCAGATCCTTCCATTAGATTTATTGCCGCATTCTGCACTGTTATTCGTATTCCTTCACCTATTGTATGGCGCATGGTTGGCAAACAACAAAATCGTCACAGTTTTATATGATTTTGTTGTTTTTGTTTACAATTGCCAAAGATGCTTTTTGCTATAAAATGTTACGGCATTACGTCGTCCTTCATTTGCACATGTCCCGTCTGTTCGCGCCACCGACCGCCCGCTYGTCATTCGTTCATCCATTTGCCGGCAAAAACTAAGGGCTGATGCTTATGTGCGCTTGTGTCGGGCATTCGGTTCTTTGCTTGTGTATATTCGCACATTTGTGAGCCGGAGTCTCGAATTCACTGCTGTTTGCACTGCGTCGCAGCCCCTTTCAGCGCTTTACCACGCAATTCAGCAGTTCCGTAATATCTGCATTTGCCACTCGCCTGATCCGTCCGCAGTGTGAGGGTAGGAAGGGAAAAAATCCTTTCATTAATGGCAGCAAAGTTTTTCTTGCCATCAACTCAATTTTTTCGCCTTTCGCATTGCTGCACAATTTATATAATTTTCCTTTTTTTTTTTGCACACGTGTGAGCGGTTGTGTACGGTTTTAGCGCTCACTCAGGTTAGTCGAGTTCTTCAAACTAATGCTGATTTACTGAAGCTATTGGCTTGTTAAGGGTAATATCCTGACAGGTAGTTATGTGCGATTGCACTGCCGACAGGTTGGTCCAATGATTAACTATCCGACTATAAGCACCTCGTACCTACTTATTTAAATTGTTCTTTTTTATCTCACTAAGTTGAGGAATTTCCCTCATGATATATATTATATATGAACTTGTTTTGGACATGATCGACATCAGGAGGCGTTTCTGTCAAGAGACATTCTTGGCTGAGGGAGGATATAACAAAGTCAGGATAGAATATTAGTATCATTACATATGAAACGAAACATCGCTTCGTCTATTATAATTAGACGTAACAAGAGGCCGTCATGTGCGCCTAACACCTACATACATACATATATAACGGTAGCACATTCATTSATATTTTTGCGCCACACCAATAATCTTTCGTATTTGTTAACTTTCGTAATTGCTTACAGATATCACTACAAACTGTGTCCATTCAGACCCGTGAAACACGTACCAGCAGCATCCACGCAATCAGCTGTTTTTCATGGCGACCTAACAATTCTCAGTTCTAATCGATTTACGTGGTTGCTCTTATGCAGTCTTTTTTATGCTCCATTTCGCACTTTGTACGTCAAAATCACATTTCCGTTGATGGTAAACGTAGCAGCCAACGATACAATACATATATACACGCCCACATGCACGCTTTCATAGTGTTAGTAAAAGTGCTCGAAATTATGTCTGTCCGCATTGAATGGCTCGAAAGCCAACAAGCTCTGTACAGAAGAGTAGCGGCAATCCATGAAATGTGGGCAGGTGGCACTGATGCAGTCTGYAGCCTGASAGTTCCGTGCGACAGACGGCAGGATCGAACGGAACAACGAACAAACGATTAGTTGACCGACTGTCCCAGCAATTGTCTGTCTATACGATTGGCATGTGACGTTGCTGGGCGTTTAGTCGGGTTCATCCAACGCAAAGTGTATTGCTGAGATTTTCATTTATTCGTGCAATACTTGATGGTTGGTAGGGTTTTCAGGCCGCCTCACATATAGTAGTTGTTCTCTGTGATTCGGTCTGTGGGTCTGTGTGTGTGTACGTATATGTTGTGTCGGATGCGCCTGGTGACAGGTGGATGGGTGCTCATTGAATATGTATTATCCATTTACGGTGTTGGATGGATATGGAAAATCGATTAAAATTATATACCACAATGTATGTGTGTATATGTGTGTATATGTTCTCGTTCATGTCCACTTTGAATTCGCTGGTAGAGAATAAACGAATCCTGCGCACACATACGAGGGTTGCGACGAACGAAGTAACGAGTAAGGACATTTATGCCGACGAAGTTGTGCTTGTCATTTCGCTTCCATTCGTTAGATATGGTTGTTGTGCGTGGTTCGTATTATTGCGCCCTATCTTATGCTCTTAGGCGGGTGGGCCGCGACATAGTTCTGCAKTGCTGAGCACTCGTTCGTTTGACTAYTGCTACTAGCTTTGTCTAATGTCTACTCATTTGTTGTTTTGTTTYTCTTCTCTTTTCGATTTAATATAAATGCTTTACACATACATATATTTGCAATTTTTTGCGAAAGCATAATTTTTATATGACAAGTTATTTTCATTTAGGGGACCTAAGTGGTGATCGAAGAAATTAAAAATGAAATGTAAGGGAAAATATTGCAAAATCATTGAGGGATAGTCACGTAAAAGAATCAAAATATTTTCATTCGTKTTTTGCTTTTTATTTAATGTCATTGAATGCTATTATTTCTCCCTTTTATTTATGCTGCCATCACTTTATTTTATACATATTATATAGTTCGTGTTATAATTTAATTTTTCTGTCGTTTTTTTTTATTGTTTATTGATTGTTATTGTAGCCTCTGTGATAGAAAATAGCGTCAATATAGCCAGCGGTTATGACAGGCATAGTCGTTGGAAAAATATAATTATAGTCGTCGCACTGCTTGCCAGGGGTTKCAGAAATCTTTGTGGGGGCTCGGCATCTAGTGCATTACTCACGGTGCCAATTTCAATTCTGCCACCAAATTTTGTGTGCATGTGCATATGTTCATATTTTTTTTCTAGCAGATGATGYTTTCAAATACCCTAGTAAATATTTCCGCGCGGTATACACTGGGTTTTTACGCGCTACCATTTTTTCACTTGTTCKTGCCTTGCCCTCGTCCTTACTCGTATCTTCGCTTTGGCACTCCAGCAGCACACAGTTGGTACTGTTGGACATACATATTTTTTCAGCAATGTTCGGCAATATTTTATTTTATTTTTTTTCAAACTGTTCTTTCGATTTGTAATTTGATTTTCAATGTCAGCTGCTCCCCAATTCGATTTATTTGGTTTAATTTTATGCCTTACACTCTGTGGCAATTTCGATTTTAATTTTTATTGCAACAARGCTTTGATTCCTATTTCTTTACTGCTTTATTGCTTTTGCTATCGTTTTTATAGTTTTCCACCTCATAAASCGGTCGCTAAACATCGGAAAAATATTTTGATGGCATTTAATAGTAATTGTGGTTGAATTAACCTTTTTCGTATGCCAAACAATGCAAAATACACCTCAATATCATCGCTCAGCCAAAATAACATATTTCTCAGTGAAATCGGCGCGTCACGGCTCTCTTTGTTCTCCTCATCAACGTGACAATAATCTGTTTTTAATGGTTTGCAGCGAAACAAATTATGTTGTCATTATTTTCCAATTGATGCTAGTTCAATTTTTTGTAACGCGTTTCACCTTTTAGCCTAACACCCAAGTGGTAATCATATAGTTCAGCAGAGCGTGTGGGTGACGAGAATTAAAATGACAAAGTAATTGTTTGATACAAATATATTTACGTGGTACGTACGGGGTGTGTTCATATGGTTGACATTCAGTTGTCGTTGTTGTTGTAATAAGGTTATGTACCTTAAATTGAAACTACAAGATATGTGATGCTGAAGCATTGCTGCAAGCAAAAAAGTTACAAGCATCATGTAGTAGTATTTAATCAGATGTATGTAGATATGTTTTTGGATGCACATATATGCTCAACGCTCTAGGAGTAAATGGTGCGTTTTACAATGAGTGCTTTTACAGGATTTTGTATCTTTTGTATAATCAAAATCATRTATGTATGCTTCGGTTATGACTTTGATTTGTTAGTTTTTGTAGTCACGCATACACATTTTCAGAAATTATTAATACATATATTCTGTTTGACAATTTTCTTCAGTACAATTCAAATTCGTTCTTAGTTCTTGCTAATTTGTTTCTGTAAAAGTTATGACTCAAACACATTTTAGAATTTCTTCTTTGCATTGTTTGGCCCTTTTAAAACTGCTTTTAACTTGTTGTTTATTGCAACATCTAAATATTTTATTAAAGAATTTTGGTAGTTCAGGTTTCGAAGAACGTTTCCTACTTCTATACGAAGTCGTCTTTGTGTATATATTTATAAAAAAATAGACAATCTTCGGTGTTGTGAAAAATACATGTATATTTAATCACATTTTGTTTTTGATTTTGCAGACAAATACTTCCAGAGGTCAATCACCTTATCCGCCAACACATGGTCAAAATTCAGGTTCCTATCCAAGTTCACCCCAACAACAGCCGGGCGGTCCMCCACCGCCACCTCCGCAATCATCAAATCAAGGAACGGCTGCTGCACAATACTCACCGTATCCACAGCGGTATCCTACACCGCCTGGACCGGCGACAGGTCCTAATCATCGAACTGCCTACTCACAGCATCAGGTAAGTGCAATTAAAAATTAAAGACATTCATCCAAGATTGGGTACCTGATGCAAGTATTTTGTGTTGGGTTGGTGATAGAGCTGACTATTCACAGAGTAAGTGGAAATATTGTTTTAAGGCTCCACTACCTGTATATAATATTTCTGCTTTAAATAGTCGGTTCTAGTTCTATTCTTGTCATATTCGGACCATGCATATTCTTTATCATCTTGACGCTTGTTATTATTGAGTTCCATTTGCTCTGAGCTATTTGTTCAAAATGCATATAAAGCTTTCTTTTCTTCGTTGCCAGTAATATAAATCTAAATTTTTAATCCGTTGACTCGCCTAGCCCCTTTATATTATAATAGCGTTATAGTGATGTCACATAACTGTCAAAAATGCTTACATATATTTAGCATAATGTTGTGCTGCTTGTTGTTGCTAATGTATTGCCATAATATTAAATGCAACAATGTAGATGTGTTCACCTGCGGTTTAACAATATTTGCGTCCTTTGTTGTTGTGCTTCTACAATGCAGTGTGGATTAATTTGCAGAGCCCGGACGTACGTTCGTCCGAAATATGAGCGCCAATGCAAAATCATACGTACATACATACATACATATGTATGTATATGCCGTGTAAATATCGCCGCGCAAATACGTACATTTGCGGGTGTGTGCATGTGCCACTATTCTATCCCTGCACTACTCGCATCAATTACAATTGAACACTTTGTCCTCGACAGCGCTGGCGCCTGATGCTGCTGCTGCAGCTGTTTTATTGGATTGACTGTTGCTATGCGTGGCACGTACTGCGGCTGCAGCTGCAGCTGAGGTCAATTTAAGCTTTTGCGCATATGTTGTTGTTCCTTGTTATTGTTCGGTGTGTGGCAACTGCATTGTGCAGACTCAATGGTTGTTTTTGCTTTAGTTGCTGCTCCGACCTATCACTTGCCACTTAATCATGATATATACGGCTTTGCCATTGTTGTTGTTATTACAAAGCTTCTAATTATTGTTGCTGTGGCTGCAATGTCTTAAATATTGTTTTGTTCGCAGTTTAATGCAAATTAATAAGTGTAAGTGTTCCACGAAATATTCTCATTTAAAACATGGCCTTTACCACCACGCTTGTGAATCAATAAATATATTCTCCAAACTCTTTAATAAGACTAATTGTAAAAGTCATAGACGCACAAATATTTAGTAATTTTTAATATATTTTCAATTTAATTAATCTATTTCTACCAATGTTAATATAATATCAGTTGACCCCACAGACGAATTTTCTTACGAAAATTTCTGTATTTCAGAAATTTCTTTTGTAAATTTCAAATTATTTGCTAGGAATTTAATTTTACGTTCTGTGACTTATACAAAGAAAACACAACACAACACACTTTCATTCCTGTGTGCGCCTATTTACATACAAACTATATGTGTGTGTACATTA